AGGGGCGGGTGCTTGGATGTGTCCCTGCGCTCCGCCGAGCGGAGCCCGGCCGGCCGTGGGAGGCCAGAGGCGCTGCCCGGGCGCTGCAGGTGCGGGGCAGCGAGCCGAAACCGGTGTTGCAGGAGGAGGCTGTGGAGCTGTGGAGCGGAATTCCTGCCTCCCTCGCGCCAGGTTCCCATCTGCGGCGCGTGTCTGCAGACGTGCGAGCTGCTGAGATGACAGATAACACACACGCTGTCAGCTTGCCCTTTAAAAATGATCGTTTAAAGCAAGCCAGCCAGCCGTCTAAATTTGTTTTTGGTAATTCTTAGCTGCCATAAACAAAACCTGCTTTTCTTTCTCACGTCTTGAAGAATAAGAGGCACGTAAAAATAAAAGGGAACCTTTAACAGCTATAGGAGGAAAGCACTGGAACAGATTGAGGGTGGTGTTGTCAATTTACAATCGATAGAGGTTATAGCTACTGTAATTGTATGCTTGAACTTCACTTGCAGCTAAAGTTTTCAGGATTCAGCAGAATTAAGATGTATGATGATTTATTAATTTGTATAAATTATTCTGTACTCCATATTTACAGTGTATCGTGACTGTAAGGGATAGAAGAGAGCAACCACAACCAAGAACATGTAGAAAGTTTTTAATTTTTTTTTTTGTTTATCTGCAGCTTATAAGTGTAATTACTTATGACATCCTTGTCTTGATATCACTGCAGTGTATGCTGTTGGCACCTCACAAATGATAAAAGGTGGTGATGGTAGAGCTCTAGAGATGCTTAGGGAAAGACACTCTGTGTTGTGGTATCTTGAAGGTATTTCAGCTTTTATTGGCTGTGAGTTGAAAGATAAGCTTTGTGTATATTTTATGTTGAATGAGACACCAGTACTAGCTTTCTGTTTTTTTTTCAGGTACCTTGTTGATACCTTGCAGAGGCAATGGAGGCAATGATGAAAACCCTGTTGTAATTAAAACATAAAGAAAAAGTATTCTTTGTTGTGCAATACTCTTAGTATCATTCAATGCCTACTATTTCAGAAGATGAAAAAGAAAATGGTTCTGGAAATAATGGAAACACTGAAAACACACCTGGGAAAGAATCCCCGGAAGCTTCTCTTCACGATCCTGTGAAGCCATACTGCATGTCAGACGCCTCCACTGCATCCTTGGTGTCTAGGGAAGATGGGCATTATCCTTGGGGATGTCCTGTGACTCATACAAGAGAGAAGTTTTATACCATCTGCTCAGACTATGCTTTTTTAAACAGAGTAACATCTATTTGTAAAAGTCCAAGTGCTTCTGTTAGTGCCTGCCTATCAAGCAGTGCTGCCTTAAACGTTGGAAATAACACACCTAACTTACTCAGCGTTCAAACTGGTGCTTCAGAGATTATCTACCGTGAAGATGCTAACTTGGAAAGCCTGCCTGGCAGTCTTGGAAAGCTTCCACTGGCATGGGAGATAGACAAATCGGAGTTCAATGGCGTGAACTCAAATCTGAAGAGCAAAGCAGGTGAGGTGGTAAAGTTTTGATGTGAAAGGAAAAGGCTTCATGTTTCCAGCTTGTTTGTGAAAGGGGCTGGCCAGCACATGTGCTCAGTGAGGAAGTGCTATAGAAGAGCCTGTATTTCATTTCAAGGAACCTGCATCTGTCATCGGGACAGAAGAGGGTGAGAGAGAGAGAAGGGTGAAAGTCGAGTGTAACTGCCAGGGGAAGTGGATCCAAAGAAAGGCTGACTTCTGCTTAATTGTGTAGTATTTGGGGTGGTTTCTGATATCCCTCCCATCCTTCCCCCTATGTTGTTGGAGTGATTTTTTTTGTTTTAGTATGACCTAGTATATTATGCATCTGGATGTATGACTTCAAAATGGGACAAAAATATTTCTGCTTTAGGATGTGGCCCAACACTGTCACAGTGGCTTATGAAAAGGAAAAGGTCTTTGGTGTATATTATTATTAATGGATTTGCATATAATTTTTCATCAGAAACTGTAGGTGGTTGCAAGGCTGGCAATCTTGAAACAAGCATTTTATTATGTTCCTTGTGTACTTAGTGTTTGGGAGGTCCATGTTGGTTAGAGAGTCTATTTCTGGGATGGATGATTTAATGCATTAGAATAATCAGATTGACTTATCTCTCTTAGCAGTTGGGCAGGTCATCATTAATTCGGTTCATGATCTAAACACCATGTTGTTTACAGAGCTAATGGCAGCTTTACAGACCTGTTGACAACTTAGATTATGTATTTGAGCCTTCTTTCAATTAACATTTAGTCCTAGTTTAACTTACTAACATAACCCGTGTCTCTATTGAGCTGGATGCTATTACTAAAAGTATTTAAGAAGAAAACAGTGAATGGCAAACTAGACATTCATTTGATTTGGAAATTTGATTTGCAGGCAACATGAAGAAACAAGGGACAAAGAAAAAGTCCGTGGACAAAAAAAGCAAACAGTACAGGGAGTGTCATCAGCGTTCCGCTCTTGAAGATGTGAAGGAGAGAAAAGTGTTGGACCTTCGGAGATGGTAGTATATATGAATTAATTTATGAAGTTATGAATTTATGAACTACGCTAATTATGTAGTTTCTCAGTAAACATTAGTTACCTGATTGCAAACTTCTCAATAATGTCCTGGAAATTTTTCTTTAGTAGAAACGTTAAGCATACACACACTGTCTCTTGCATTCTTGAAGAAGAATTAGAGCTTCCCTCCCATCTGTTGAAATTCATAAAACATTTTTCTTTCTAAACATCCATTTTACTTTCAGGAAAGGGAAAAACCTATGTGGGGATTCACTGCAAAACAAAATACAAATTCAGTAACGTGGTCAGGCCAAAAGTAACCTTAAATGTACCGCTGATACGTTTTACTTCTGATTTTACTTTTTATTGGGAAATACTCGATCAGAGTCTATAATTTCTATGCAACCATTATTGTATTAATATAGCTCAGTAAATTAAATCAGTTTAATGCATCTGTCTGGTTCTAACTTTGTAATACCAGAAAGTCAGAGTTAACCTACAAGAATCTGTGGCCCAGAATGACGTTCATAGGTAGAGGTGTGGTTTGTCGCAAGTGCACGTGTTAGAAGAGACTGAATAAAACCATATGATATATTAGTACAGGATCATATTTTCCTACAGGCTCATTTGTACAGAACTCTCTTGGGGCTGTTAGAAATTTGACTGATTTATATGAAATAGGGTAGTGCCAGCAGGCAAAGAAATCAGTTAACATTTGCTTAATTTTTGTTTTGAAGGATACAGCTGTTTTGGGTTTTTTTGTTCGCTTATTTATTTTAATACAAATGACATCAAAACATTCAATATAATGTGGCACTTCAGTGACATGGCTCAAAAAAAGTAGTTCAGGTTTGTCATATATGTGAGTCAAGACTGTGTTACTAATATGTTTGAGGTTTTTGTTTAAGGTATTGTGTTAGCCGACCTCAATACAAGACTTCCTGTGGAATTTCGTCCTTGGTGTCTTGTTGGAATTTCTTGTATAGTACACTGGGAGCTGGAAGGTAAAGTCATACACAGACTGCTTTGCTTTGCCTCTGGAGTGTCAAAAATATGTTTCTAATTACAACACTTTTTTATTTTTAAGTTTACCCCCCATCACTCAAGAAGAAGCTTTGCATATACTGGGCTTTCAGCCCCCATTTGAGGAGATTAGGTTTGGTCCCTTCACTGGAAATACAACTCTAATGAGGTATGTTTGTTCTTTTGATGCAGCTAAGAGATAGAACCTTTAAAAATACAGTAGTAGTTTATTTATTTAAAAACCAAGTGGCTGAGATGTTAATCCTCTTAAGTTTTAGAATAATGAAACATACCTGAGTACTCTGACTCTGAAATTCTCGAAGAGTTGTTTGCAGTGGTTGCTTTGAATGGTGTGATGCTATTACACAGGTCAGGTCAATGTGAAATTCTATTTGATTTTTTGGTTCAGTTTATGTAATGGTTGTATAATACTCTAATGAGTCTAGTCTCCTGGTTAGGAAACTTACTCTTTACACTTATTTTTCTATTTTTGAAAATGCAAGTTAAATGCTTGTTAATATCACTGAAATGGCCTGACAAGACAGTTGATACACTATTAGCTTAATGTAAAATGCAATTTAAGAACAGAAAATGAGATAGTGCTGAATCTTTGCTGCAATGGAGCTGTTCAGGAACAAAAACATGGGGCTGGAGTCACAGAACACTTGAAATTCTTTTACCGCTTCTGCTCTGCTGTTTCCTGATATTTATAGGTTGGACCTAAATTCTTTGTACTTTTTTTTTTTTTGTATTAAATTAATAAGACGTTCTAGGATTAAACAGAGCCAAGAAGCATATTGTACTACTGAGTGCTGAACGTTTTGATAGGACTTTGGTGTGTTACCCTTTGGTGAGATTAAAAACTTTGGCTGTATTCTTGCTTGCTTCATGAGTTGCATTTGATTTAGTTAATTTTTTTTAGGGCAATATATAGTGTTTGGCTGATCACTGTAAGTGATGCTGAATTTGAAAATGTGGCAGCAGTCTAATCTCCATTCAGCATACTGGCTAGACCCTTGGAAAATGTCATAAAGTTTTCCTTACCTGCTTTAGGAAATTCAGATCCAGGTTTTCTATCTCTTCAGGAGTATGTTAGGGTATAGCAACTCCTATAGACCAAGCTGATATAATGTTCTATCTCTTTGTGTCAACAGTCTATACAGACAGAAGTTAAACTTGTAATTCTTCTCTGATTTCCCCTGTGAGCATCCTTTATGCAGCAGAGAAGTTACCCATCTTTTATTTTTTTTTTTATTTATTTTTTTTTTTTTCTTTTTTTCTGGCCTGGTCCAATAATTTTGAAGTGTTCAGCAGGCTTGGAAACAGGAGGGCTGGGAGCCAGCCCCATTACCCAGCATAGATTTATGACTGAGGTACTATCTTCAAACATGTGAATTTGAATCTTCCAATGTGGAAAAATAGCTGGCCTGTCCTCACTTAGTGCTGCAGTGAGGAGTTGCAATATTTGGCTCCTGTAATGTTCAGGCTTTGTGGAGTTTAGGTGAGAGAAATCCAGCAGGATAACCAGAAAGTCACACTTGAAGGGTCCCTTCTGGTGTCTTAGATTTCATTTATGTACCTTTCAAATCACGTTTGCACTTTGACACCTCAGAATTTGTGCGTCTTTCTAGAGGCTTTGTAATTGAACATTAGAGATGACTGGACTAAATACAACAGGACCAACATTTCATATCCAGATTGTTGCTTATTATGATTCTATGTCGAGTCTGGAAGAGCAAAATGAAGGAGAAGGCTTTGTGTATTTACTTCTCTGTCTAGGCTATTTCAAATTTTGTGTTGGGTACTGTGGTTGTCTACAATCTAAATATTAGTGAAGTAGGTACTTAGTAGCACATAAATAATTTTTTTCCTAAACAGTCAAAGCACAGGAAAAGTGTGAGGAAATGAAATGGTATTTAATAACTCTTGAGTTACTACAATCTTTAAGCTTATTGTTTCAGATGGTTTAGGCAAATAAATGATCACTTCCATATCAAGGGATGCTCATACGTTCTGTATAAACCTCATGGGAAGAACAAGACAGCTGGAGAAACTGGTACGTAGCTACTCTGAAAGCATTCGTCTTACAATGTATAACTTGAAAAATCCTGCAGCATGTAGCATTTGACAGGATGAAGTCTGTAAGTAGTACTTCCAGTATGAGATAAGGTATCAAATACCTCCAAGTTGGCTGATTTTTCTGCTTTTACTTTTTCTCTTATTTAGCTAAAATTTTCATTTATACTTCTATTACGATAAAATACATTCTGTGCTACATATCCTGCTGTCACAGAATTGGAATTTTAAGGTATCCAGGAAAAACACTGCATTTCCAGTTCTGCATCGTTGTGTGGGAAAATTTGTTTGCTGTCATCCACTGAGAGAACAAAAAGTTCTTACTTAATGTTTCATGCCTTTAAAAAGCCCAGTTTGAAAGGTAATGAACTTATGTGTTTTGCCTGATAGCTAACATCTCTCTCTAAAGTTAGGCGATTATTCTCAATTAGCTTATGCAGCTACATTTTTGTCTATTTTTCAGGTATGCATTTTAAAAAAATTTACTTTCATGCGCAGTTTACTAGCCTTTGGTATAGTCTGGGTAATTACCTTCTAACTGAAAAAAAAGCCCACAAAATCACGCTGAAAATTCTTAGAGATTATGAAAATGGAATTTCTTTTCCTTGGTATCCCACTTGAAAATTGTCATGTTTCAGTACCTCTTCTAGTCTTTTCCTGAAACTGAGCACTGTGGTCACATTATAAACCACTGCATGCCCATATGTGTACCTGAGACTAGGAAGGTCCAAGAAGCTCATGATACCAAAATGCTTTTGAGTGTTTTCAGTGGTTTTGGTAGTAACATCAATGTGTGCCACATCTGACTTAGGGCAGCTGGGAGTGCATTCTGTTGCAGTGTGTATTTCCTAGTTCAAGATATGCTTATGGTGCTTTTTTAAATTTGATTTTGATCTAAACACAAAGTATACTTTATATTGCATTTCCCTGGCACAGACTGTGCAGCAGACAGTATTTAATTTCCTGCCTGGTACAAAAAAGTAATAAGTTTGATATCAAAAATGTATTTTGTGTATGCCTGTCAGGTCACGTCCTTTCACTTAAAAAGCAATATAACTACTTTTGTTGTTAAATAGATCTTCTTTTCTGCTGAATATGTTATTCAGGATCCAAAGCACCCTGGCCTGTAACCTGATCTTCCTTTGTAGCTGCAGGGGCCCTTGCAAAGCTAACACGAGGACTGAAAGATGAATCAATGGCCTATATCTACCATTGCCAAAACCATTATTTTTGCCCAATTGGTTTTGAAGCAACCCCAGTAAAAGCTAGTAAAGCCTATAGGTAAGATACTATATGCTTATCTGTGTTTATGCTTATGCTAGTGGAAGAAACATACAGAAAAATCTACTTCAATTTGATACCATTTTTCTCCATAAATAACATTTCAGTTTGTGTCATGTAGACATCTGTCTGAGTTAGAAAAACACTAGAGTATGATTTGAAAGGAGTGTTAATCATTACATACTTAAAATGAAATGTAACTAAACAGACTATATTGAGAGAGAGCTTAAAAGAGAAAACTCTAAATGTTATTAGGAAATGGTTTTAGCTAGATAGAGAGAAGGTAGTTATTTTATTGAAGAACAAGTGAAGGTAACTAATCTTATGCTTATGTACTTATTTTGCATTAATGTTGACTAACAATGGTGATGGTAAACTCCAACTTCTGACATGTAAGACATAGAAAAGTAAAGAGATGTGAATGATCTGTTACCAGGAATTGTGAGGGAATGGAGGGAATAAAACTAGGAGAGATCTTTGGACTATGACATTATGTTTGGCTTTTTTTAATAATACTAATAAATACTGACCAATGGCTGGGCATCGAGAAAGTCCAACAGAATCCTTTAATACATACCATGTTTGCAACTACTTTGAGAGAGGAAAAACATCTTAATATGATTCAGTGAATGA